TTTAAATATATTTAATAATATTATTTAAATTCTTAATCTAAAGTTTTTATAAAAAAATATTAATTATAAATTAAATTATATAAACAAAATAAAAAATATAATATTAATTTTAAATAATTTTTATAAGATTAAAATTAATAAAAATATTATAAAACTAGATATTTTAATTTAAATTAAATCTAGAATTTTAATAAAATTAAATTAAATATTAAATTATTATTATTAGTATTATTAAATATTATATCTAATAATTAATAAAAAATATTATATTTATATAAAATTAATAAAATAATTATAATTAGATTTTTATTAACATAAAATCTAAAATAATAGATAATAGATAATTATAAAATATAAGATTTAATTTTAAAAATCTTATTTATTATAAATAATAGAGATCTAGAGATAAAAAATAATTAATAAAAATTTATTTTAAAAAAATAAATAAATATTTATAATAATTCTTTATTTAATATTTAATTAATTATTTATTTAAATATAATTAAAAATAATTTCTTTTTATAATCTTTATAGAAATAATAATTTATAAAATTAATTTCTAAGTTTTTAATTTTTAGATATTATAAAATATAAAGATATATAAAATAATAAATATAAAAAATTTTATTAAAAAATAATATATTTTTTTTAAAATTTTTTATAATATTAATAATTTTTTTTAATTAAAGTAAAATAATAATTTTTAAATTTATAAATAAATTTTAAAAAAAAATATTTTTTATTATTAATTATAAAAAATAAAAAGTTTTTTTTATAAAATTAAATATAAAATAATTTTTTAATTTTTTATAATATATATAATCTTAAGATTAAAAAAAAATAAAAATCTAACTTAAATAATTTATTTTAATTTAAAATTTATTATTATTTATAAAAATTTAAAAAATAGAAAAAAAAGTTTAATAATATTTTTTAAAAATAATTTTAATAATTATAATTAATTTATAATACTAGAAAAATTCTATAAATAATAAATTAATAAAAAAAATAAAAAAATTTTATAAAGATAATATTATTTAATTTAAAAATATATTTATATATAAATATAATTTATTATATTTTTTTCTAGTTTAATTTATCTACTATATTTATTATTATTAATAAATATAATAAATAAAAAATTATATTTAGATTCTAGAGTTATTAAATATTTTTTTATATAATTTAAATATTTAATTATTTAGAATTATATTTAAAATTAAAATTTAAATAATCTTTTTTTTATTATAAATCTAAAATTTAAATATATTATTTTATTAAGATATAAATTATATCTTAATAAATATTTTATTATTTATATTTTAATTTTTAAAAATCTTATAATTTTAATATATCTAGTTTTTTTTAAAAATTAAAATATAAATATTAAATAAAAATAATAAATTTAAATAAAAAGAATATTTATATAAAAAAATTTAGAAAAGATTTTTATAAAATCTATTATTAAAAATATAATATAATATCTAATATTTAAATTAGATAATTATAAATAATATAATTATTAAAATAAATTAATTATATAATATAATATAAATAATCTTTAATTTAATATATAAATAATTAAAATCTTTTTAAATAAAAAATAAGAAAATAATAGATTTATTAATTTTATTGTAAGGAAGGAACAATAGGATTCATTCAAAACAATAGCCAGTCAGCCAACATTACCCACAATCCCTGATTCAGGCCTGAATCAGGCTATTATGGACCCATTGACCCTAATTAAGTAATTGACTGCCTGAGGCAGGCTTGTAAGATCACCTGATCCTTACATTTATTTAAAAAAATTTAATAATAATTTAAAAATATTATATTAATTTTTAATTATTATTTTAATAATAAAAATATAATATTTTTTATATAATTTATTAGATCTTTAATATATAATTTAAATTAAATTATAATTATATATTTTTTTATATTTTTTATTATAAAAATAATAATATTTTAAAAAATTAAATTATATTAATATTACCAGAATTTTCTTATTATTTTTAATAAATAAAAAAAAATATTATTATATTTTTTATTTATTTTTTTTATTTTAAAAAGCTTATCTTTATATATTTTTAGATAATAATTAAAATAATTAAGTTAATTTTTATTTAATTTAGATATATTTTAACTATACTTAAACTAAAAAAATATAATAAATAAATCTTAATATTAAGAATAATTAAAATAATTAATTATTTTATTTTTAATTATATTATAATTAAGTATAAAAATTTCTTTAATCTAATTATTAACTTATAGTTAAGTATAAAAGTTCTTATTAACCTAACCTAGCCTAGCTATTAGCTACTCTAATCCAGAAGCTAATAATTTAGAAATAAATAAATTATTTAATAAAACTACTAATCTACTTTTTATAATAAGACTTATTATAATATAAATAATATTATATTTAGCTAATACAGAATTCTCTATTTATATTTACTAATATTTACTAATACTTATTAATTAATTTTATATATATAAAATACCTAATTATTTAGATAGTTTCTTATTATACATTAAAACCCAGATCTTCTAATTTTTTTTAATCTTAGTATAGTATAATTCAGCTTTATACTAAAGATTTAATTAGGCTGGATATAATTATATATCTTTCAGGATATAATAATTATTTTTTAAGGTTCCTGATTACTGTTAGTTAGAGACCTAGTAGGGTACTGGATAACCTATAGATTACAGGTAGGGCAAATAAAGCAGGTTGCAAAGAGGAAAAAGAAATAAAAAATAAAAATAAAAATTGACATAAATAGTTGTCAATGTCACGCGGGGCGTGAAACAACAAAAAATTGGGGAAGTCCAGATGGCATAGCCTATACGTTCCAATTGAGGGTCCGTGCGATATACCTGTCAAATCGGTCACGCTCCCTGGATAGAAATTCCGAAACAACTAACTCAGAAGCTTTGGCAGTTGCATGACTGCTGACTCCAACTTATCCTTGGTAGATTCGCACGTCTTTAGAATGCTCTTCAAGAATCGGTTTCAACTTGAAGAATCCGTCCCAACTTGAAATCTTTTGGTGTTCCTGGACCGTGTTCCGCGGCGAGGAGCGCTCGGTCGGCGACAGTTCAATTGCCTTCCCTATCAGACATGTATCTCGGTAAGAACATGTTGACATGTAGTTTGGAAAGAGACGGGAAGAGGAAAAGCAGATCGGTTAGGCTGTCCAAGTGGTATTGGATAAGCCCCGGAAGACGTTTCAGACCCTCATAACTTGGGTATAGACCATGAAAGACTACGAGGACCAGCCGAATAGAGTGTGAAGGCTTCGCGTAATAGAACTTCCGTGAGGGGCCATCCCAGAAATTAATCGGTCCTGGAACATTGGTTCTAAGGTTCTGTTCGTCCCATCCCCTTCTATATTCTTACATTCTATGATGCGGTTGAGCGCGAACTCTCGTGGAGGATATTTGGGTAGCGTTTCGCGGTTAACCTGCGACAACTCAAACACTTTCTAATTGTTGTTATAACCCACATCGATGGGAGATACACCCCCTGCAGCCTGGTTTTAATATATAAATGGACAGCTACATATTTCCAGGAGACAAGACATCTTCCATCTTAATGTTACTTCTTATCACTCTAGTTAATTTTATGGTAACCATGTCCTCAGCTGTCTTACCTACACCAGACAAACCGATTCAGTATCCAGACACTCCTTCAACGTGGGATAATATTATGGCCATATATTCATATGCTTTACCTAGCCTTTATCAGCTAGAGAACCACTTCCAGCATTATACCATGACCTTAAAAAAAAGTCCCAGTTCGCGAACTAGATATTTATTAGGGATTTACGGATCTGTGTTATTATCCACTACCTGGAAAACCTGATCAGTAGGTAGTTTTGGTTACAGGCGATTATTAACTACTACTAACTTTTAAAAATATAAAAGCGAATATAATAAGCTCCTATAGATTTCTAGAGCTTTCAAGAATTTCTGGTCATAGAAACAGATATACTAAGTTATACAGGCTTATGATTCCACGGGCGCCTCTCTATATAATAGTCTATATTTATAATATCACCTTCCTCCTTGTATCTAGCAGAGAATAGAATCGAGTAAGATAAAATATAAACTAATTCAGTTTAAAACACTAAAATTAGGATATTTCAAAGATAGTAAGTAAATTATATCAGTATTTAAATAAGATTTATATTAAACACAACTCTTCTTAATTAATGCGTAAAGTTTAAATTCACTCTATTAGTATTAGGGCACCTTCCACACAGCCGCATAGCAGAATTTTCATATAGTAGAAAGGAACCGTTTGTGGAACTCAATCTTAAACTAATATTTTAAAAATCTAGACTATTTCTTCCTATCAATATAAAATATATATCTATAAATTCTAGTTTTAACTTTCCTCTCCCACAAAGTGAGGAAGAAGGATTGGTAGGAATATATAGATAGAAGTAAGTTATTCTAGAAATATCTAGTAAAGCTGGAATGGTCAAGGTAAAAGGAATAATAGGTAATGTTATTCATTATCCACAACTGGAGAATGGGGCGTATTGGTTATAGATAAAGAATACCAAAATTCAGATGAAAGGGGCTCAGGTACAGTCAAGAAAGTGATCCAGGAAAGGAGAAGTTCATTATATTTTATTAATAAGCTTAGACCTCCATCTGCAGTTCACAGTAAGAACCTGTCAGTCTTAGAGGCCACTACTTTGTCTTCAAACGGAAGCCCCAATCCACAATATCAGATTACTTCAGACGTTGCTCCTCAAGGCCTTTGCCGGAGTCATAGTAGGGTGTCTGCAAGGATCCACATTCACCCAATAACAGATCTCCAGACACTGAGGGTGAATAGATACATGCTCTTTAGCTTTTATTATATGCTAGGAGATATAAACTGACTGCAACTGAAAGGATATACAGAACGGTTTTATCATTGATATTTGTGGGTCGCTCTATAATATGTGATAAGGACATAGCAACCACAGCTACTATGCATGTTAGGCAACCACCTTGCTAACTACGACTTTCAGGTGTGGCCCATGATATTCTGGTAGAAAACAATCACGCCACTCAAGCTTCTTGGGACTATGCAAATACAGATTAGATGTCAAATGTAAGGGGAGCCCCGCGCAGAGACGTACCTAGAAGGGTCGATCTCCATCTCAAACTTTCGAAAAACGTGTGCAAAACAGAGATATAGTTCCGCCCAGGCAAGGCTGCCAAAGGCGGACAAGGAAGTGGTCAATCTCAACTCTGCTCAATCAAGCGCGGGTTTAAGTCTAGGATATACAAGACTTACTTCGAACCTAACCAGCGTCGTGGGCCTTTCGAGAATGCCACTAACCATTTGTCAATGTCTCTTCCCTTATCATTCAACCACCGCTCGGGAATAAATTCATCCAGATTCGGGAATATGGTCTCATCACGATGCACGAAGTGGCTGCTCATTCCGACCACCGTCTGGATATTTAGAATAATTAGTACCTGGATTAGTTAAAACGTCTTTCTTTCGTCTTCCGTACCCCACCAGGAATGAAGGTCTTGTCTATACGTGCACCGGAAGATGGTACCACACGTGGAAGCGGCGAGGCAACACCAGGACTCATTCGAAGCGATTCTTTAATGACAGCAGTCTATTGATCATGGGACGTTAGGGTATACGCTTAAGCAGATTAAATCTGCAATCCAGCAAAGACTGTGCAAGAAGAGATGTTTACCAAATACGGAAATTTCTCGAACTCGGAGAGGCTGGGAGCTTCATCCAAAACTCGCCATTTAGAACGCAGCTCCGTTTTCAACTTTTGATACACCGTGGGCGTTTTCAATACATAGAAAGAGCCGTGCATAAGTGTTGTGCCGGTCGTATCAGCACCGCCAAAGAGTAATGCTTGGGCTTCTTCGTACAAACTGGCTGCACTTGGAACTGTGCCACTGCGATAGGCTTGGGGACGCAGCAGCTCGTGGTATATTGTGGTTGAATGCGGTAAGTTCTGCAGATCTTCGGGGTTCGTAGTCAGGTCGCTTATTTGCGCTTTAAGGAGCTGCTAGGTTTCAAGGCAGATGTTACAGGGCGATTGCAAAATAGCTGGCGGGACGGGAAATCGGACAAACCTCTTGTAGGTCAACCAACCCCGCAGAGGCCGGGCTGATGAGTTTGGAAAGCTTCGGGGGGCAGTTCAATATCGTTTCTTTTAGGAGCGACGAGTGCTTGAAGCCGACAAAAACAGGTAAAGAGGAATCCATGGCCTTGATGATTGGCGCTTCATAGTTCGGTGCACTGATCGCATCAAGGTTCTTCCCAAAACAGAGATCTTACAAGTACGTCGTCAGTACAGCACATTCTTCATTGACCAGTCGGATCTCACAGGTGATGACCTCGACGGACATGCATCGATATGCATAAAAAAGATCCGCAGGTTTCGAGCCTAGATTTTCGAACGAATCACACAACCTTAATACCTTGTTATTGCATTAGCCAACAGCTAAGGAAAAAAAATGATGCTGGGGAAGAAATATACCTTTTCCGAAACAAGACCTTGGACATCTGCAACCGCCTTCTTTGAAAACAGTCTGCTTAATACATCCTTTCTTTCCTTGGCTTCATTGTATGTCAGGAAACCAAACGAGGAGCGGTCCTCGCCGAAACTGTGATATAGCGATTTTTCTTTGTCCCACTTATTTAATGCATTGTAGATTTCCGCGTAAACCGAAGGACGTCTAAAATGAATCTGTTGCAGGAAGTTTCAGTCCATCCGTATCATACTACCCAGCGTACTCCGAATCAGTAGTACCTCATTGGGGCCAATACGGACAATATCGCCTTGAAATTTCTTTGCCATCAATATAAGCATTGTCTAGCTTGGGCTACTTGATCTCAGTTTCTATACTCACCGTACCGGGAATGTAGCTTCTCAAGCGTATGTACCAACGATGATTTGGCGACCAGGTCAATATACGCCTTATAAAGAGGAGTGACTGCCGCGAACAAGGGACCAGGGAAAGAAACCAGAGGATGCCAAAATAGGTCGTAAATCATGCAAGAGCCAACATAAATGGCTAGCCCAGCCGCGGCCAACCACATAAGACTACCAGCAGGAAGCTCGCTGCTATTAATCATAGTGTATTGGGATTGTTTGTCGGTCGATGGGCTTTTTATTCCTGTACAGCTCACAAGTATCGGATAGAGTTGCGAAAGATAAGAAATGTCTGGAAAAACGACGTGGGAAGGGAGAAGTGTCCCACTGACTTAATGGCGTTACCAGCATTCTGAAAGAGAATAAATCCTTGCCAAACCTGCGATAAACCACTCCAACAGGATCTCGTACGAACCCCGACTAAGCATCCCATGATAGCCAACCCATTGCTCTAGCTGGTTTAGGGATCATCTATGCAAATCCAGACATTCTGATTTGTCGCGGAAGTATGGCTACCTTCCGTGCCATTGGGGGCATAGTGGGTGGTTGAATTAACTACGTACTAATTCCTGGACGCGTTTTGGGTAGGGTGCGCAGCTCGCTTGTGTGCGCAGCTCGTATGTGAATTACGTTACGTTACACTGGCAATAAAGCCTAACAAATCAGGCCTTAAGGGTGACTGCAGAGAAGATTTCGGGTGTCGGTCTGGGGGGTTGCGAACTATTAGCAAATGCACGTGATCTAGAAGCTACATTGATTGGTGTTTCTGAAACATCTCGGAGGGCTGTTAAATCAATGCTCCGCAGTACAGGGGATGAACACTCGATGGAAATTCCCTTGTCTCAACATCCGCTGCCGTCTTCCCACGTTCCACACATAATTGACGAGGAATTTCTTGTTTGAATAACTCATGATAAAAAGAAAAGAGAAACTCAAGAATAAAGAATCAGAGGAACACATCGTTGAGTGATCATCAACGGTATTCATGGGCCTAACAAATAAAACCAAATACAAGTGAACGTATTTCGGACCTCACCAATTTCAATGGACTGTACAAGCGTGCGGGCCGGGGAAGTTCCAAATGGCCCCGATCTCCCGTCAGCCTACCCCACCTGCAGTTTGGGGGCGGCGATCACAGTTCGGGGCTCCCGTCTCTCCCTCTGACGATCACATCAATTTTCTGGCCCCAATGCCTACATTTTTTTTTTGGTTCGGTCACTTCCAAGGTTCGGTCCCTCGTTGGAACATGCCAATCAGGTTGCCCATATGGACGTTCAATTGCGAGCTTCTAACCTCTACACTCAGAAACATTGAATTTACACCTCACGTTTGCGCCCCTCAGCTCTGTCCGGTGAGCACGCGAACACGCACAACTAGAGCCTCTGCTCCCATCCTACTCTGCATAGGCAGACTGGTTGGAGCGTCTGATCTGTCTTCCACCTTCGTTGCCATAACTGCGCAGCCATGTCGGACCCTCAGCAGGGTTGCTCCATGGCTGTCGAGGACGTGTTCGGCATCGTCAACAGTTCCTGCCTTAACGGCTTCGACTTTACGCTCTTATTTGAGGAAGCCATATTAACCATACTGCCGTTGGGAATTTCGAGTATATACTCCCCTTCCCATTATTTGCCTCGCTTTGCCTTCTTCCCATCTTTAACTTCTTCATATACAAATGCTAACAACTGTCAGTCGGCTGGGCGCTTCTGCGTCTGTCGAATCTGCGCAATGAAGCCCCAAAAGTCTCTAGGTCGTGGCCATTGGCCGTCAAAATGGTTAGTTTCACCCGAACCACTACCCCGATGGGTAAATGCCAATCTCATTGTGGTGACAGTCCTTGTTCGCTGCCTTCATTATCCTACAAGCCGTCCTTCTCGCCGTCTGGTCGGCCCAGAACATACCCCATACGAGACTCACCTTTGCTTGCATTGGATTCTCGATAGGAGGCTTCTGCATTCTCCTCGTCACGTCTTACTTTGAGCACATCTATTCGGTGCGGCCATCAACCGTCTTGGTCGTATATCTCGGTGTCTCCACTTTGCTAGACCTGGCCCGGACACGTACCTTGTTTTTTCTGCCAGGAAGCCATTCCGTGGCGTCCATTCTTTTAGCAAGTTATCTTGTCAAGGTCCTGATGTTTTGCGCCGAAAACATGAGCTGGCACCGGTTCTCGCGCCCAGAATGGAAACACGCGACGCCAGAGGAGAAGGCGGGAGCCATTGACCGATCGTTATTCCTGTGGTTGAATCATATATTCATCAAGGGCTTCAAGACCTTTCTGACAGTCGATATGCTGACCCCGGTTGACCCTGAAATCCTCTCCGCGTCCCGATCTTTGAAGTTGCAGCAACGATGGGACAATGGTGAGATTCCATTGCTCATCTTACACACCTTATCCGCTAACACTATCGATCAGCTGACCACTCTAGCGACTACGCTCTGTTCTGGACCTTTTTGATTCACTACAAGTGGCCCTTTCTTGCAGGTGTACTGCCGCGACTCGCTTATAGTGGATTCCTTTTTGCACAGCCGTTTCTCGTGGAGCGCGTGCTCGACTTTATAGATGAGGCCAGGACCCCAACAACCAATGACACCGCATACGGTCTGATTGGTGCGTACGCCATTGCCTACATCGGCATCGCGGTAGGCGCTTAATTACTTCGTCATGACTCGAAGCCAGCTCTCTGATCTTGTTACAGGTCTCGTATGCCGTCAACCAGCACAAGACGTACCGGTTGCTTACCATGTACCGCGGAAGCCTCGTCATGATGATATTCGAAAAAACACTGAAGATGAAATCAACCTCTATCGCAGACGCGGAGGCAATTACGCTCATGAGTGCCGACATCGATCGCATAGGACAGAGTTTGCCCCTCATTCACGAGCTTTGGGCGAGTTTCATCGACGTAGCCATCGCCTGCTGGCTCTTGTATCGCCTTCTGGGAATCGCTGTGGTGGCTCCGATTTTATGGATCGTTCGTATGTGATAATGAATGACTGGGCCAATATAACTGTCCCAGTCGCTAACAATGTCCGCAGTATGTCTCATCGCGGGTCTTCCGCTAGCGGGTGCCGCTGGAAATGCCCAGACGCCCTGGCTGGAAGCCATCGAATCCCGTCTGGCTGCGACTGCAAAGGCGCTAGGATCAGTCAAGGCCATTAAGATGAATGGGTTGGCGGACATTGTTTCCGCCACGATTCGTCAGCTCAGGCTGGACGAGATTCGTGCATCTCTGAGGTGGCGAGTCTTGAACATCTTTGTCACCATAGCCTGTAAGAGACGGCCATACATCAATATTTCATAGAGAACCTGCCTGATGGTGACCTTAGATTTTGCATCATCCACGTTTGCGCCGGTCTGGGGCTATGGGGTATACATCATCCTGGCAAGGTCGCGAAACACAGAGACCTTGACTGATAGTATTGCATTTTCCGCGCTCAGCTTATTCGAGCTGTTGAACCAACCCATGATCCACATCATTGACGGCTTTGAACACATCCAGACGGTTGCCAATTCGTTTCGTCGAATTCAAGAGTATTTGACATCAGAGGATCGCCATGACTTCCGAATTACCCCCGACTCTAAGCAGCCTTCTGACAGTATATCGTCCAACAGTGATAATACAAACGACATTTCTCTCAAAGAAAACCCGGCCTCCAAGGCCATCGCCGAACTAGACCAACACCAGAATGTTGCTTCTGTCCAAGAGGTGTCCACTGGTTATGATGAAGATACGACTATACTACATGACTTGAACCTTGATATTCCTCGTGGCCAAATAACAATGATATTTGGTCCGGTGGGATCTGGCAAGTCGACGCTTCTCAGGCTCTTACTCGGGGAGATGCCATGTGTTTCTGGAAAAGTTGCCACGTCCTTTCGTAAAGCCGCATTCTGCCCCCAAACCCCTTGGATCACATGGGGATCGGTTCGAAGCAACATCATAGGCACCTCCGAGTACGATAGCAAGTGGTATAATATCGTCATACAGGCTTGTTCACTAGTCGCCGACTTGGATGAACTACCACACGGCGACCAAACCAACACTGGTACGCGAGGATCAAGACTCAGCGGTGGTCAGCAAATGCGCGTATCCTTAGCTAGGGCTCTGTATTGTCGAAATCCCATCCTCGTCTTAGACGATGTGCTTACTGGCCTTGACCGCACGACTGAGCGCGCAGTCTTAGAAAGCGTCCTCGGAGCCGACGGTCTTGCGAAGAAGGTTGGCACCACCGTAATAATGACCACGAACACTGCTAGCCACCTGCAGTTCGCGGACAAAATTGTCACGTTGAACGAACATGGCAAGATTGCACACCAAGGTACCCTCGACGCTATCTCACCGTCAGGAGGCTGGATCCGCAAGCTTTCGGAACAGCCAACCGTCACAACGTCCCGTCCATTGCTGGAAATCTCCGATGAGACGATGCAGGAGGTGGGCGTTCCTCTTGACGGGGGGAACGAACCAGATCTCCAGAAGCAAAGTGGTGATTGGAAGGCGTATTCTTTCTATGTCAAAATTGCGGGCAGCTGGAGGATGACTTTGTATGTCTGCGCCTGTGCCACCTTTGTGTTTGGTGTCAACTTCCCTTCTGTATGGCTGCAAAAGTGGACAAACTACAACGCTGATCATCCCAACCAAGAGATTGGCTACTACCTCGGTGTGTACGCAGCTCTCGCTTCAATAGCGATCATTGGCTGTTCCCTTGCCGACAGCGTGTTTAACCTGTTTGTAATTCCGCGGACGTCCCGGAAGCTCCATGAGCTTCTTTTGACAGCCACTATGCGGTAAGTTGCTTTTAATGAGACACCAGAACGGTTCATGATAATGATGCTGATCATGACGTTGATTAGGGCACCTACGTCTTTTCTCACATCCACGGATGCAGGCGTAACGCTCAACCGATTCAGCCAAGACCTTGAACTCATTGACCATGATTTGCCCACTTCGTTGGATCAAACCATCTTTCAGCTACTGAGTGCCATCATGTCGGCGGTCATCTTATTCATCGGCTCTGGCTACGTCGCCATCGCAATTCCACTGTGCATTGTAATCATCGTGGCCATCCAGCTGTTCTATCTGCGCACATCCCGACAGCTGCGAATACTCGATATTGAAGCCAAGGCGCCTCTCTTCTCCCAGTTCTTGGAAACCCTGGGTGGTATATCCTCTATACGGGCCTTTGACTGGACAAGCCACTACGT